GTTCCCCGGGGGCAAAAAAAAAAAAAAAAAAAAAAAAAAAAAAAAAAAAAAAAAAAAAAAAAAAAAAAAAAAAAAAAAAAAAAACAAGAAAAAAAAAGTGTTAATTTGAAGCGCTGGGGGCCCGTCGCGGAATACGCGGTCATCACACACCTGAAACTCGGTCTGCTTGAAGGAGCCCATTTGAATGCCCATAGATCCCATGCTGGTGCTGGTCAACGCCTTTGAAGCAAAATGGTCATTTTGAAGTGAGTTGCGCAAAACACCATGTTCAACAAGTCGTGGCGATCCATCACGGCGCGACAAACCTCCTCCAAAGTACCCGCCATGTAAAAGGCATGCACCGGTTGGGCCGAGTGTCCGACGAGATGAGAGCAAAGCTAAATGCGCACCATGAAGCAGATACAGACAAGGGTCAGTCACATATGGCAGAAGATGATGATGCATGGTCAGGTGCACCTCAGCAATGCCCCAAGAGAAGAAAGCAGAAGTACCTTGTTCCTCCAGCGAGGCGACAAAATTGGGCCAGCAAGCACCGCCTGCATTTGATTCAGCCATGGTGGCAGAGCCGTGTTTTCCGGCGACCCTGTGGCCGTCAAGGTATAAACTACGTCACGTGTGCGGGGCCCGCTGACGAGTGACAAGGCATCATAGGGCAGACAGAAAAGGTGAGACGGGCCGAGAAGAGGACGTCAAATTGGCCAGTGAATGATGCAACAAAGAAGGGTTCTCCCTTACATGGGCTTGGGTCCGGGTTGCACATCAATATAGCGAAGGCCCTTCTTCAGCAGGGCACGTTTCTGCAGCAGCACGTTGCCAAACAAGGTGAGTGTAAAAGGGAATGAAGCGCGGAGCAGGCAGGAAGGCCGCTTGTAGTATATGAGGCGGTTGACAACGTTGCACACACCGTCGAACTCTCGATAAAAGGGTTGGGAAAGATGAGCAAGATGGCCTGGCTACGATGGCGCGTCGTGACCCAGGCGGTCACGTGGCGCGCCCGGGCTCCGACCTGTAGGTCGCGGCAATACAAAGAACACAAACGCACAGACAAACAAGCATACAAATCAAGAGGTAGGGAGACAGAGTCGAGCACGCCATTGCACATGAGATTGAATTGAGCGCAGACAGGTAAATGACCAGCTCGAATTGGGCTAAGCATGTTGAAGCGCTCTGACCTTTGCTGGGATGGATGGCTGCGAAGGCAACGTGAGGCGATCGAGCAAGCCGATTGTCGGGGGCAGATCGCCAGGCACTAAAACTGAGCACGAGCCACGACAGTAAAAGGAGTGAATGTGACGGTCGTGTTTTGTCAGGGCATCAACAGCGAATGTCCACCATTGAAACCGTGTGGGAGTAGCACCGGTGCAGGCAACTGCACAAAAAGTTTGAAGCAGGGTCCAAGCATACCCGGCATGGCAGCCACGGCTGGCACAAAGGCATTAAGAGTATTCATGTCTGGTAAGGGTACGATGAGCTGATGCCCCGGTGATGGTGCCTCAATGTGAACCAGCTGGCGCACGGCGCGGCCGATAAGGGCATCGACAGAATTGATCCGCGGTTGAGCAGCCAATCCGCTCGTCCCGCCTTCCAAGGTAAGCGGGTTGAGCTCTGCTCGCCAACGCTGGCGCGGCTGAGGCTGGGTGGTCAAACAGAATGTGGGATCGGTGTGAGTCTTTGAGACACTTGGTCTTCATCCCTGCATTCTGCAGCAGAGCAGAGGAGACATCGAGACATCGAGAGAGAGAGAGCGAGATCGAGAGGCAGGTGGGAGAGAAAGCAAGCTGACCTGACGGTTGCTGCGCGCATCGCTTAGTTCTGCGTGTAAGATTGAGAGCCCAGCTACGACAAGGTTGCAGTGTTCACTTGTAAAAGGGCCGACTGCAGTGAGCCACGCCATGAAATGAGCAAAGGCAAATGTGAGCATGGGCAACTCGGTACGCTGATGCTAGACGAGTTCAAGTATCTAGCCGAGAACTTGATAATCGGAAGAGCCGAAGAAAGAGCCCCAATACGCAAGCGAGACGCACCGGCAGTATTAGGACGCCAGTCGAGGAAGCAACAGCGGGGCAGGTCCAATTCGCAAGAAAACCACATGTGATGAGGCCCGGCGGGTAGCTCAGGTTCGTCAAGGCAAATGAGTGATTGCGCCAAGTGCCGCCACACATCTCGAGGACCTAAACAGGGCAAACACAAAAGTTGTGAATTGCTTCGAATAAACGTATCTGTATGGGCAAGAGCCTTGCACCATACCGCGAGTCTTGGGTTTGTGCAGCATGGCGTGCTTTGTTGCCGCGTGCGCGCGGCTATCCCTGGGCACAGCCTCAAAGTGCATTGGAATGCTCGTCATCTAATCGAGGGTGCAGTCAAGATACAGCGATGGTCATGCGAATGCGCACTTGGTTAGGCGCATCAGCAAACAGGACAAGAGCAAGAGAACGGAGCAGGGTGCGTATCGGTGTCATCGGCCAGTCGGTAAGTATGCAACACACCGAGTCTGGAAGATCCTCGAGCAGCCGGCGTAGCAACCACGGCTCCAACAACTGTTGAAGGCGCTCAATCTTCGTTTGCACTTGGGCTGCTCGATCACCAGCCTCCGAGGCCTCTCCATCGTCGCTTTGAGCCCCAGGGAGAGTGTAGTTTGTAGAACCGGGGGTTGAGCCATCTTTCCCCAGACACTCCAGGCTCGGGGCATAAGTGGGGTAGAGACACGGAAACAAGAGGTGGACCATAAACCAAAGCAGGTCAAGTGATTCGGGTAGCGGGGCCGGGGTTTGAATGAGCCGAAAGGCAGAGGTCCATGCCAGCAGTTGGACATGTTCGGGACGCAAGACCTCCACACCGGCCAGGCTGACAATGAGCAGATGCTCGGCAGCAGTGCCACCACGGGCGCTAGCACCAAACGCCAAAACGTCCACAGGCATGGCAGCGTTTGCTGGGCGCCCCGCAGGAGCCACGTGCACGGCCATTTGCTCAAAGGCAGCCCGCCACACGTGCATGGCGCTTGGCTGACAGACTACTGTCGCACGCTTGACCTGGCCCCGTGCCATCATGCTGCCGACAACAGCCGCAACCTCCAGTTCGGGATCTGTGATTCACGACATGCACACAAACAACGGAGCACGGGTGAGTCTGCACCCACAAAAGCAGCGCAAATCAAGCCACAACCAAGATGCAAGTCCTTTCAAAGGAACACATTCTTTGTTCAAAAGCCAGCTAGCTTGTTTTCCCTTCCTGACCCGTGGCGCAAACCTGCAACATACCCAGGCTGTTAGAATCGGCGCAAATGGCGGCGCCCGTGGCGCGAAGCATGCCGGCAAGGCGTCGGGTCGCAGTTTGACCATGTTCTGGAAGCGAGCTGCTGAGATCTGTCACAACGGGCGCGGTGGTGGAGCTGGAGCGAGTGGAGATATCATGAGTCCCGCCAGAAGGCTCATTGGATCCGGGCAAGGCTGCTGTCGGAGTTGGCTGAGAACCAGTCACTGGCGTTGTGGTGGCGGCGACATTTGCTTCGTCTTTTGTTTCTGGAATGGCATTGACGGCGTTTTCAGCGGCACTGTCGTCCAAACTGGCCACGCGCTGGGCCAGCGATTGCAGATCGCTGAGCGTGCGACAGTAGCGAGCCGTTGTCGGAGCACCTGCGAAAAGGTCAGTCCAGCCTTGGTCGTTGTGTGGCTCGGGCTCATCAGGCTCATCTGCAGACTCGCGGCGGGCGCGTGTCCGCCGCGAGCGTGAGACTCGACTCTTGGGTTCATCAGGGCCTTCTGCCAAACTACCCTCAACAAGCTGGTACAGCTCAGCCCGTGGCATGTCCAGGAGATGTAAAGGTCGGCTGTTGGCGTCTTTGGCCAGCTGTGTCACTTCCTCGACCACCTCAGCCATGTCACAGGACCAAGCCTCCACGCCATTGTCCGAGGCCTCTTCATCTGAATCCTCTGGCTCTTCGGCTTCGGCAGCTGGGTCAGCGTCTGAGGGTGAAGCTCCAAGTGTAGGGTCGTCGGGGTTGAAAAGAGGATCTTCATCAGGAGCAGACGCTGACGAGGCGCCGGGAACGACGGTATTGTTGCTGCTGCCAGCAGCGGCAGCAGCGCTTGTGGAACCTGTAGCTTGTGCTGATGAGTTGACAACTCCGAGTTCGGTGCTTCGAGCGCTACTGGGTGGGCTTGCGCTGCTGCCGGCTCGTGGTGGGCGCTGTGCTCGCCCGCCAGTGCCGGCCTGGGTTGGTTTGATCCAGGTGCTAGAGTCTGACCCCGCGTCGGCGCTCGTGGCCAGCGCTGGAAAGGAGCCAGTGCTTGAGGATGAGTGACCAAAACCGTGCACCAAGGGGCTGGCACTGGCGGCTTCGGCAGCAATCTCTGCAACGCAAGTGGACCAGAAGCCGGCAACGGCTCGTGATACAAGCGCAGCGGTTCGACGTGAGCCTCCCATGGTAGCCAGCGCGGCGGATTGACGTTGCTGACGGGCTCGCCACTCCAAGACTGCCTCTTCGGCCAGCTGCTTTGCCGCTACCAGCTTCCAGCGACGCTCTTGAAAGTAGTCATTGGCCAGCCAGCGCATTTCCTCCAATAGGTAGTCGTGGTGCACCTTTTGGCGCGGCGGCTCAGCAACGCGAGCCAGGGGCTTGGCGGACCAAAAGCCCTGAAGTTTGAGCTCCTGTGCTCGGGCCAAGAGCTCAGCCTCTCGCTTGAGAATGGCCAGCTCGGTGCGCGGGTCCACGGGTGCCTTGCGCTTGGGCCGCGGTCGGGCATGCCCATCGCGTGCAGCGGACGACCTCTTGGCCTGAGGCTGCATAGCAGGAGTAGGTGTTGCATAAAGACCTCGTTGCGGGTGCACGGCTTGAAGGGGTGTGCTGGGAACACCGCCGATAGCGCTGGGCCGATGCTGAGGGCTCTGCTGCAGCAACTGCTGCTGCTGCTGTTGTTGTTGTTGCAGCTGCTGCTGTTGAAGGGCTGCCTGTTGTTGCCGTTTGTTGATGATGGCTGCTTGCACTTGACGGTCCGCGCGATGGTGATTGACGTAGTTCTTGACTGACTCGGCATTGTTTTGCAACCAAGGAGCTTGCAGGCGCAGGGGGATCTCCTGCTCGATGCAGAGCTTCTCACGTAAACGTTCAACATGGCGCTCAAGAAACTTGGTAATCCGCGTGTGTTGCGCCTTGATGGCTCTTCGGATCGTAGACTCCGCGCTCTGGTCGGCCTCACTCACGACGGATGCCCCGGACTGTGCCCGTGCCGCCATTTTTGACAGCGGGGGCTTGCTTCCCCGCTGTTGCGGCCTCAAAAGAAGTTCTTTGGGCAAGACCCAGGGCAAACTCAATTGAAGCACAAACCTACAATTGCAGCGCCCATCCTTCTCACACCCCAAGCCTGTCGTCCAATGCCCAGGGCGGTGAGAAGGGCGAGTAGAGAGGCCTCTGCTGCCTAAGGATCTATGTGCTTCCCCGCTGCCGTTTCACTATAGAAGAAAAAAAAAAAGGATCAGAACCCCAAGTTCTGTCCCAAACACTTGTTTTAAACGAAATAAAAAGTCGCGACTCAAGAAAACTCAAGAAGCACAAAAGCACCGTTATTCCATCGTTGGAAACACATGTTGTCAATCTTTCTTTTTTTTGGATTTTTTCAGGTTTGTGTGCGAAAAGGTGAGAGAGAGAGAGAGAGAGAGAGCGCGCGCGCGCGCGCGTGTGTGTGCTGTGCCGCTGGTTCGTGACATCCAGCAGCGGGCTCAAGGGTTGGCAGCCACTGCCGTTTGCCGTTTGCCGTTTGCCGTTTGCTGGTGCTTCCAGCTCTTGGGATCTTGTCAGCTTGTCAGCGCTGTTGTGAGGTCGACTCGCGTTGTGTTGAGTCTTGTCGTTTCTGATGTGCTTGCTCGGCGAATCTGCATGGTCGGTGTCTCCCTAACCTCGTGCTCGCGGGTGCTGCTGGCTCTTTGCTTGGCCGCGTAGGTGGTTTCCCTTGCGAGTGGGGCCTCACCAGATCAAAGAAAAGAACCCAACGCTGTGGTTGCGCGCACCGCACGCTGTTAGCCTTGCCTGTCGCATCTTGACCATGGCAGGTTTTGGTGGGTTTGGAGCTCCTGCAGCCTCGACCGCAGGGGCCACGGGCGGGTTTGGGGCCAAGCCAGCCACAACTGGTTTTGGGACACCCGCAGCCTCGACCGCGGGAGCCACCACCGGCTTTGGCGCCAAGCCAGCCACAGCTGGTTTTGGAACACCCGCAGCTTCGACCGCGGGAACCACCACCGGCTTTGGCGCCAAGCCAGCCACAGCTGGTTTTGGAACACCCGCAGCTTCGACCGCAGGAGCCACCACCGGATTTGGCGCCAAGCCAGCCACAGCCGGCTTTGGGACGCCCGCAGCCTCGACCGCAGGAGCCACCACCGGATTTGGCGCCAAGCCAGCCACAGCCGGCTTTGGGACGCCCGCAGCCTCGACCGCAGGAGCCACCACAGGATTTGGCGCCAAGCCAGCCACAGCTGGTTTCGGAGCTGCCACCACCGCCGGATTTGGTGGTCAGTGACTGGCTTCATCCTGTTCGAGTTTTTTTTTTTTTTTTTTGGGTTGTCACTCATTCATAAGCTTGTTCTACCTCACATTGCAGCTTCGACAGGAGGTTTCGGTGCGGTCAAGCCTGGGCTCGGCGCAACTGCCCCTGCCGGCTTTGGTAGTCAAGCCAATGGCGGTGCTGCACCCACCTTTCAGCTTGCAGCCATCTGTAAGCTCCTACTGGCCGCCTACCTCCGTCGCCTCTTCTGCTGTCTAGGACAGCCCCTCATCTTTTCATTGACCTTGGTTTTCTGTGCAGCGGGTGCTAATGCACAGCAGACACCGTCGGCCGATGGCAGCACCACTCCCAAAAAGGGGCAAACCACGTACGGCCCTCCACGCACATTGCTTTTGTGTATACCCGCTGTTGACTGACGCCAAGCCAACTCTCGCTTCTCGTGCACAGGAAGGATCCTTTGGAAGAAAATGTCGAAAAGCCCATCGAGGATGCCATCAAGGCGTTGGAAACACACATCACCACGTTCAAACGCACCGAGTACGATCTGACCACGGTTCTTTCTTGTTACGGCAATGATTGGTGCCGATAACCTAGCCCTGAATGGTCAAAACTCACGCTGCATGTCTTTGACAGAATCAATCTCCACAAGCAGGACAAAGAATTAAAACGGATGGACGGCGATATGCAGCATTTTGATCAGCAGCTCAAGGCGCTCAACACAGACCTCAAAATTACACAGCAAGTGGTTGCCGCTCTTAAAGATCGGTGTCGCCAGCAGACAGAAGACGCTCGCTTAGCCGAGCGCCTTCTTGAAGGCTACGAACAATCTTCGTATCAGGCTACCACGTCACCCATCATTGAGTGCGTATCTGGTTTGCTCGCGTCACCGCCCGAGCTCAAGCATCCAATGCCCTAGCCAATTATATGTGGTTGCTCAAGCACGGTCCTCTTCTTGCTCATATCGCTCCACGCATGAAATCGCGCTTTCCAGCTTTTACTACGCCTGCATCAACGACTTTGACAACAAACTCAAAGGTCAGGAATGCCCGCCCATTGTAACCTGCCATACTTGTGGTGGCTACTTGATCGCAGCGTGGGGCTCTTGGGTCGCGTTCCTCACTGACCCCTTGCTTCCTGTGTGTGGTGCATGAGATAGTCTATGTGGGGCACGTCGAAGAGCTCGAGTTGGCCCTGCGCTGTAACAATGGTGATGCCGTCGATGCTGCCGCACTAGAGGTTTGTGCCCTCTTTGCCGATGATCCTTGTTGTGCTCTCTTGAGAACATTGAACGCCGTGTTCAAGGCATCCGCTGATACATGCGCAGAATATCTCGTGCATCCACCCATATCTCACTACCTTTCTGTCAAAGTCGGGATCAAGCTCATGCATGACTTTGCTTCTCCCCAACATTGGCTTTGTGCTGCTCACAGGAATCAATGGTACTCATCAACAATGCCTTCCTGAGCCTAACCGCCCAAGTACATCAATTGGTGCAAAGGCTCAACAACGATGCTCATGAGTATCAGCTTGTGTACACACGCCTGGTTCGTTTTTTAACTCGGCATACCCTACTCATCGCTGTCAATGCGGCAGCGTGCATGTTAACCCTCTTTTGTACCACTACGATTTGAATCTTCAGTTGCGCACGGCAACTGATCCCGACGATCCATTTGCGGAATTGGCCAGCAAAAATAAAACCGCTCGAGATGCTGCCGAAAGCGGTTGGTCCTCTCTTTCCATAGCCAGCGAAGAGGCACATTTGCGGTGCACGCACCCCCACTTCCCTCGGCGTGCCGCGGCATTCGGCACCCCAAGTTGCATTCCGGCGGCACACTCACTCGTATCATGCCATGCAGACTTTATGGAAGAGATTGTGGATGAGGAAGAAAATGGCTTGCCAGACCTGGGCAGCGCACAAGGTTTGGACTCCGCCCAGCTCGTTGCATAGTCATGTGACAATTCGCTCAGCGCCGGGCCCGCGTGACATCTGACTTTGGCATTTGCTTTATAGCACAACAACAGTATCTGATGCAAAGCAACCCGCAGCTCTTGCGTATGTGCCAACCAGACCCTTCGCGGCTCGAGTCTTGCCCTTGTCTCATCTTAAGTGCGGTTGCTGCCCCTTTTGCAATTGCTTTCGATCACGGCAGTCATGCAACAACAACAGCAACAACAAATGATGCAGCAGCAACAGATGACGCAACAACAAGCAGCTACTGGCATGGGGTTCGGCACGAGCACTTCAGGTGCGTCAAATGCGTTCCCGTTCATAACTCTTCAGTCATCATGCCGATGCTGCAATCGCCCGACTGACCTGCGCCATTCGACTACGAACACCCAGGGTTCGGGGCCAAGCCTGGCTTTGGCACACCGGCTGCGGGCGGCTTTGGCACACCGGCTGCGGGCGGATTTGGGTCTACCGCCACAACCGGATTCGGAGCCAAGCCGGCCACCTCAATGGGTGGCTTTGGAAAGCCAGGCGGTTTCGGTACTCCAGCTTCAACGGCCACAAGCACCGCAGGGTTTGGCGCGCCAGCGGCCGGGTTTGGCACTCCTGCAGCCAAGACGGGTTTTGGTGGTGCCACCACGGGTGAGTGCCTGAGCCACACTCTGCAAGTTGTTGTAGGCCCGGCTCTCACGGTGTATGTTGCCACGATGCTGCATCTGCATGTAGGCTTTGGTACTCCCGCAGCATCGACGGGCTTTGGTGGTACGTAATGCAAGAGCGGTCCCTGCTTGACTCTTGACAGTGTTCAGAATGGCATCAACTCACTTTGTTGCCTTACTTATCTTGGGATGGGGTTTTCTGGTTTCTTTTCCAACTTTTGTGTTATTTGCATGACCCGCTGACCACCTGTCTTCGGCTTGCGTTTGCTAGCTACGGTAAGATACAGATGTGCCTTAAGAGGCGGCGCTCACATCACTCGGCGAAGCAATCATCAATTTCTCATGGGCTTTGGTAAATTGGGTGCTTTTGATAGCCGACAGCACCTTCCGCCGCGACTGCCGGCAAGTCGTTTGGTTTCTAAAAAAAGGCAACCATCGTGCACCTATGCTTCGAGAGCTTCACAGCGAACGCGCTGGTCTTGCAAGAGATGCTTCGCCTGCTCGCACAAAAATCCAAAAGGAACCGAAGCCAAGTGTACCAGCACCATTTCATAGCACCGCGGAAGTTTGTTTTCTCGTGCTGCCTTGGGAAATAAACGAGCCGTCAGTTGCAAGAAAACCTGTAAAATCAGCCACAAGAAAACTTGGATGAGCCGAGGCGGCAGACACGGGTTCCACAATGGCCAACCACCATACGATGCACCTACTTGATTGCCGATGGTGTCGCGATCTTGCAACATCTGCCATGCCGGATGTTCGGCAGGACAATTCAACCTGCATACCAGTGACAAGTTATTTCAAAGCAGGCACCGTGAGCACCTTCTGTCATGTTGGGGCACGAATGTCCGACTAGTGCCTAACCCACGGCCACGCACCGCGCGCCGGCTTGGCTCTCAAACCACAGAAAGTAGGTAAAGCGCAAAGAGCCTTGCGTCATGGATAGAGTCGTATAACCCTGTCAAGATGGCAACATTCATCGTGCAAAATACATGTGCACCAAGTGAGATTGCGAACGTAGCATCGCCTGTCGGGGAAAAAAAAAAAAAGGGCCAGAGCCATCCATGCAAGGGTATCAACAGGGCTGGGTAGGGTGGTGACGCACCTCCGTGAGAAGCTTCTGGCTGCGCAGATAGAAACCCCATAGCTGCTGGCGCAAATGCTGCAGCTGGCCTGGGTTGGATGCAGCTCCTAAACGTGCCAACGCCCGGTTACACTCGTGTGAGCCAAGGTGGACAGACCTTCGACTCGTCACGTTCAACGCATGGCAACGTACCTAGTTCTTGGCCGGTACTGCGAGAATCAAGGCTGCGACAAAGCAGCACGTTACGCGATCGGTCGATATACCAATAGTGCACCAAACCGGCGTACTGGCGCAACGTTGTGATTGTGACATTGTACATGGTCTTGATTCGCAAGTAAGCTACATAGGTGGGCATGACTTTGGCCATCTCTTCGCGCATCTTTTGCACAGTCTGAAATACGCCAGGAACAATTCGAATGAGAATAAAAGTAAGAGCACATGTAGGCAAACACACACGAGGAAGCAGGCACAAAGACATTCAAAAAGAGGCAACCCCAAACACACGCACAAAGTCCCAGGCACAAGCAAAGGCACACACGGTACAGAACAAAAAAAATAAAAATAAAATAAAAATAAAACAAAAACCGAGCAAGCGTGTGCATACTGACCTTGAGTTCGCTCACGGACGGCTTTCGGTTGGTCTGGGTAATCTGACCGAGTGATTGCTGCAGCTGCGTGCGAATTCGACTGGCATTGTGCTCAATCAAATTGAGCTGCTTCGTCTCCAGCGCCTGCAGGCATACCGTCACTCAGATGAGAAACCACGACAAGCTGAAACAACTGCGCTGGGTAGCTGGGTGGATGGCCGTCAAAGGGCGCACATTTTTGGAAGCGCGGGTGAGGCGGTCGAGTGGAACACTAATTTGGCTGGCAACAGAAGAATTGACGGCATTGATGCTCTTGATCTGGGCCAGAAAGTTCTGAGAGGAAGAAGCAACTTGGTAAGTTTGGTCACATTCGGCTCAGAACGATGGGGGATTCAACCAGTACCCGAATGGTCTTCAGCAGGCGCTGTTGCGCTTGTGCCTTGGTCTCTTGCGTAGAGCTCTGTTGCTTGCGCTGTGCTGCGGCTCGCTCCACGTCACCCCATCTTGGCACGCAAAGTTCAGGATGAGGCAGGTGCAGATGTTGACATTTCGTGCGTGCCCAAAGCAAAACTCAAAGCCAACTTACCCGCTGGTTTCTGAGAGGACGGCACAATGATGGCAGTTGCATCCGCGATCTGGACCACAGGTGTTGGTGCAGCTTGCGCATTGGCAGATTGCAGGGCCCTGACAATAATATCTACAAAGGGTGGGCGGAGGGACAAAGCAAGGCAAAAACAAGGCATCACAGAAGCAGTCAGGCAGTGATCGGGGACAAACAGCCACGAGTAAAAGAAATGTCCAAGGCCAGCATATCAACTACCTGCTGTTGTCACTGCGTCGTGCAAAGCGATCGGCCGAGTTGCGCATTTCACCATAGCCAGACACTGTGTCAGCGGGTCGTCCATGACCAATAAGGGCGTGTGTTCATGAGCCGAACAAACTATGGGTGACCGCACGTATACCACGACGCTTTCATACCGTAGCGCACGTCCATTTCCTCCAAATCTTTCAGCCGGCCATTAGGGCAACGCAGTTGCCAGTTAGGGGGATCACCCGCTACCGGCACTTCTGACTTGATAAGGGCTTCTCGTTGCGCTGCCAGGGGTTTCAGTCGACAAAAGTCTGGTTCTCGTTCCTGCCAACGAGTCACATAAATCGTCACGTGAGTATTTGGAAGAATTCGGGCCTCCTTTAGCTAATGAGCGCTCAACCGACTTGGCAGACAATGCGCGCCACCCAAGCCTTCTCGTCGTGCTCTGGTGCAATGACCCAGCCGTTCTGCTCTTCGGAGAAATACAAGCATGTATCCAAAGTTTTTCGCTGGAAAAGACGGCGGCCGTTGACGAGTCTCTAAACGATGCCAAAGTCAATCATAGGCTCAGAGGCGCGGTGACACACCGGGGGAAAAAAAAAAAAAAAAAAAAAAAAAAAAAAAAAAAAAAAAAAAAAAAAAAAGCTAACGAAGGCTGCCTTCTGAAAGGCCCCTTTCCACCTGGGCAATAACAGACGAACCGGCTCTTGCGTGTCCTGATCTAAAACCGGATAATAGTCTCCGTTGATGATGACAGTGGGATATGGTGGGTCTGGTGCACCGCGCACGGACATAAAGTACCTTGACATGGTCGACCACACGCATGCAGCCCAGATGAGGAGATAATTTGGAGGGGGGGGGGGGGTGGTATTAAGAGGAAGCCTAGTAAACGCCTAAGCATTGTAACGTACTCGGGACCGGTCTGTCGCGAGGGCTCAGTCTCATTTTCGTTCAAATCGATCAAGAGATTGCAGGCATCGCGGATGCGCTTGGTTGTGTGCAGTGCAGCAAAAATCAAGCGGGCAAGTTGGTCGTAGGCACCCTGTCACCATCAACGCGGCACAACTCGGCCAGAACATTGAGTTACAAGCCACGCCATGATTCCGACCAGCAACAACGCGAACAGGCGGCAAGAGAAGCAAACGAGGCTGGGGCTAAGGACCTTGGTGATGAGCAGCAGCGTCAAGTCCTCCCCTAACTCGCGAATGTACTGGTTTCCGCCGTCGAGAAAAGCACATGAATCGAGCGTGTGTCGCACAGAGGTCGCGCCATGGTGGCAAACACGAGGAACAAGGACATACCATGACAAACGGCGAAAAGCTGCCATCGGAGCAGTGGAGGTACACGGGTTCTTCTTGCGACCAGGCCTCTTGAGCCGACAAGCCCTTTGGGGGCTCGAGTGACATACCATCTGACTCGGGCAGCTTATCACCCTGACCACCGATTGAAGATGAGGTGGACATTGGTTGTGATACGACTGCGCAGGATGGTGCACATGGTCCCCGTGAGCTCTATCATGATGGCGTCCACGAGACGCATGCACAATGGGGAGGAAGCATGCCGTACAATCCGAGCTGGCTGATTTGAAGTCGGATTGACTGCCATCCGAGTAGAAAGCTGCGGAAGCAATCAAATGCCCATAACGTGAGCAGCGCTTCATTGGACTCGCCAAGGCATCCATGCTCTCGTCAACACATACTTCGGCGGACGCCATTGCTGCTGTAGTGAATGTATCCAACGTGGGATCGACTGAGATGTGTGCAGGCCATTGAAGATGAGGCACACAGACACGGACGCACAGGGGCAGACACAGAGGCAGACACAGAGCAGCGCCAAGCATCATGGTGCCCACGTTGGCCATACAACGAGCAGAGCAGATTCGCCCCTTACATGTCACGGGACGCTGGTTGCTCTTGTCGGGTCGTAAGTTGCGCACTGCCGTCTTCCTGGACACCGGCCCGCAACTTGACATCTAATACAGTTCAAAATTGAGGACTTGGGCGCCGGGGATGCAAGGCTGTGCGTTGCCACTCGGTTGCCTCCATAGCAAATAATAGACAGGAGGGAAATAGGAGAAAGAGAAGGAGAAGAGAGAGAGGAGGGAGAGCCGGAGCGTGAGAACATACCTTGGGCATAGGTGATGAGCATGAGAAGATCCTGGCCCTGCAGGGGCTCCACATCAGGACGGGTGTAGCGTTGGACAAGCTTGGTGCCGCTCAGCAGCACGCCGTGGTTACCCCACCCTGATGCGCAACATCGAGAGGCAATATGATATGCTCAGGCACGCGAGCTGGCACTCGAAAAAATTTGCGCACTGTGTCCCACGACATACCCTTGTCGCTCTTGGCAAAGTGCTTTTCGAAGATGCTCCGAAATTCATCCGCTGTGCGGATACCACTGCAAGCCACAGGATCCAGGGTGAGGGGCTGGGTTTGGACAAACCTACATGATGATACGGCTAAAACCGACCTGATCGGCTCGATGCACTCCACCAAGAAGGCTTGGTGGGTGAGGCGCAGCTTCAGAGCCGTTTGCAAGAAGTGATCCACCCGGCGCCAGTTCTCTCGACGCTCAGCAGCATCGCCAGCACAAATCATACCCAAAACTAGATTGTGGGCCAAAAAAAAAAAAAAATCAAGCATAGCCCGTCATACCGAAGCACCTCACTTGATCAGGCAAGCGGGGCGCGCTGAAGACAGGTCAGGTCATACAGGAGCCAAATTGCAGCTGAAGAAAGCGCCGCAAAAGCACAAGTTGGCGACGCAAGAGTTGAAGATCAATTTCGTCTGTCATGCCAATGTAGTGGTAATCATCATGCTGGCAGATGTGCATATGAGTGCATTCATGAAAGATGCGCAGGCATTTGCCGAGCAGTGAATGGTACGCGGGGGACAGGCCGAGGCAGACTACCTTGACAATCACAACATTGTGTCCCTCGGCTGTCTCAAAGCCACGAATGCCCAGGCTAGACTCGGCACGCATCAGCTCCTGCACAGTCAGAGTGAAGAAAAGAGGGAAAAGCAAATGCATTGAGGCTCGGATACACGAGCAGGGGCTGGGAGTGAAGTGGGGCTGAGAAGTGAAAATCTGACGCACGCTGTTTTGGATAAAGGGCAGAAAATAGATGGACAGCATGCCCACATTGATCTCCTCGCCGTCCTGTGAGCAAAGAACATACCACCGTCAGGCAGCAGGCGCAAGGATCAAGAGGGGGCGTGCGCCACTGTAGCACCACCTTTAGCCAGGCGTTGACTCGGCGTCGCCCTTGCAGACGCGACTTACATAGTGGCTATCTTGTTGTCGACTGAATTCCTTGATAACCTCCTCATATTCGGGATTGCAGGAGAAAAAGACAATCTCGGAGGTATCCTCCACAACAGCGTAGCAGCGCATGGTCGTCCAGGCCTAGTCTGCCGATGCACACCGCCCGAGATTGCTGTTCACCGCCGACCACGACGTTTGCACATCAGCACTCCGATTTCTTTGTCAAATGGGGAAAGGGTTGGCTGTTTTCACAGGCGCACAGAAGGCGTCAACCCACCCGCAAAGGCTAGCCTGACCCCACCACCACCAGAGGCAATGGTAATCACTGCCAGACCAGCCCTTGCGTGCTTGGTCCGCGCGTCTCCCCCACCGGCGAGCTGGCACTTTATTCGTGCGCGCGCTTGCGTCTCGCTTCTCAACAAATGCAAGCACAAGCGCGAAAGCCAAAACGAAAGCCAAAAGGGAGAAAAGGCAAAAGAGAGAGAGAGACCAAAAAAGTGGGAGATTAGAGAGACCTCCAATTTTCTTACTCTCTCCCTCTTGTTTGCAGTTTACGTTGGATATTCAAAAATACCACACGTAATTGAATCTTTTTCATCGACGTCATGACGATGCCCGTAAGAAGCGGGACGTGATATGGGCTGGCATGCTTTGGCAATTCATGAGACGTCGTCGGCGCTGTTGGTCTTTTCCCGACTCGGGTGCATCTGCACACATCTGCACACATACTACAGTCGATCAAGTAGTCAATTGCCGCAATGGGCGACGACAGAGGAAAAGAAGAGCAATGAAGAAGAGACATACTATAGTTGACACACACAACAACACGCAAGCAGGTCACCAAACCCCAACCGGCACAGTGACGAGCAGCTGCTGGCCGTTACGCACACCAGTGATTTGGCTTGAGATCACACAAACTTAACATGAGCCAACGAGTAAAAAACAAAACAAAAAACAAAACTACATGGAGGTCGCACAGGCAGCAATGCCACTTGCACGCTGAACCAAAGCATCGTAGTCGTCCACAGTCAGGATGAGCTTGCTGAGTGCAGCGCCATCCGTGCGATCTTGGCTGTCAAACTGTCCGGAGCGCCCGACAAAGTACGACACGTTCGAGGAAGACACGCCCGCACCCGTGAGTACAGCCATCAATGTGGCATCAAGTTCGTCCACGATGCGCCGTGCCGTCGCAGTAATGGCCCGAGTTTGATTCCGATCACTGTTGCTGCCGTCCGTCTGAAACAAAACGATGCGTCTTGAAGCGTTGTAGCGAGCCGGATCGCTTGCCTTCAAATCCCGCAAGCTCTGCTCGACCAACTTCAGAGCTGGCAAGTAGTTGGTCGCGCCATTGACGGCAATCTGAGCCACGCGCTGCTGCAGCTGGGCCCAGTCGGAAGTGAACAAGGGCTCACCGCCGAGCGCAGTTGCCGTCGTACCAAACGTAAACAAGGCCATGCGGTGTTGGCTTGCAGTAGAGTCCAGATGGAAGCCTTCACGCGCGATGGTGCGCACAAACGCCCTTGCCTGTTCCATGTAGTCGGTCATGCTTCCGGACACGTCGACCACCATCAAGACGTCGGCCGCCTCCGCATACTCGGCATGTGACGAGTATTGCTGAACATATCGCAGGGCACGCTCTGGATTACCTTGTCGGCCAGCAAAGAGCTCATCTCGCAGCTTGAGAGAGGTCACGTGGGCGGCCTCGCACTGCCGCAGCGCAGCAAAGGACGCGTTCAAGAATTCCGCGTGCACAGCCCGCCGTGCCTGATCAAGCGCGGTGGGTAGCTCTGAGAAGCTGCCGGATCGGATGGTGTCTGGGCAATGCTCCTTGAGCAAACTTTTAAGATCCGGCAAACACAAAACGAGGCGGTAGCTACCAGGATTGTCCTCTCGCGCCGTGCGGCCCTGAATCTGAATCTGCTCGGCAACTTCCGTGGACAGAAAGGCCTGAATGACATGCACACCGCCCTTGGACTTGATGTCACGATTAAGCACCGTAAAGTCTGATCCTCGGCCAAAGGGCACCGTGGCCAAGGTAATGGAGTTTTGGCGCGTGGCCTGCCGAATGCGATGAGGAATGTCTGGCTTGCCTACATCAATAATGTTGATGTCGCGCCCACCCAGCTTGCCCCGAAACTCAGCAGAGGCCTGGAAGGCCTCGAGTGCTGTCGAATTGGGGAAGAACACAATCACAGCGCGTCCCGAGGAGCGAGCATGACATTCGTCGGCGATCGTTTGATGCTGCTGCGCCATGTTTTCGGTGATTTGCACGGGGTCAAACACGAGGCGCGTGTCGCCGTACATGGAGGGCATGACGCATTGGCGCTCAATATTGAAGCGGTCGCTCAAGAGAGTCGTGTCTTCGGGCACCGTGCCAGTCACGCCAGAAATCATATCAAAGGTTTGAATAATCTTCACAAAACTAAAGTGCCCTGCCGTAAATAGCATGCCAATGTGATCGGCACAGACTTCGGGCGGCACGCGCCCACGGCCTTCTTCCATCAGGTAGGCAAACTGCGTCTCGTAGCCGTACACCACATCAGCGCTGTTTTCATCCAGACCCTGCCGCTTGTACACAATCCGCCCTTGATCGTCAACGCTGTGTGGGTGCTGGTTCTTCTCAATCGCAGCCCGACCTGCCACTACGAGGTCGAAGGTGGCCAGCATCAAATTCTTCGCGTGGGCATAGCTCTGTAGCAGGGTCTGGGCTTCGGGTAGCTGCTGAACCTGCTGAGCTGTGAGCGCTTTGTTGCTCCACACTGCTCGCATGAGCGCGGTAAAGTCCTTGTCGTGAACAAGCGTGCCTGGGTTGTAGGGCTCCGTCAAGAAAACGGGTGACAGCAGAGTGTCCACTTCGTCGACCAAAAGAATTGTCGGCCTTGTGTGGCTTTGAGGCTTGCCGTCCGACAGCTTGCCCGTCACAATCAAGGTTTGGAGAGCATCCCGGATGTCACCGGAGGCATTGAGTGCCTTCCGTGCCAAATGTGTCAAGGTGCTGTATTGAATGTGTTTGCTCACAGCTAACAGCTCAAAAAAGGCCTTAAAGTCTTCATAGTCGCGAGTACTGAGGATGGCGCTGTAACAGGCACAGGCCACATCAAAGCCCAGGAGGCTGTAGATGACGCTAGCAAACCCCAGCAGAATACTCTTGCCTCCACCCGTTTGCAGCTGTACAAAGGCACCTCCAAGCTTGGACTTGGCTGCATTTGGCACGAAGCTCTTGCACCAGGCACCAAAGCCAGCAATCCACCCCTGGGACTGGCTCAGCCCGACAAGCTCGAACAGGGCCAGGATTTGGATGACATGCAGCTCCTTATAGATGCCATGACTGGATTTGGTTGTTTTTGCAATAGTTGCACGACTGAAGAGGCTCCAAATGGCAGACAGATACGCCAACAGGACGGGTAGCTCACGCTTGAGCGCGCTGGTGTCCCGTGCCAGCTTACGGCCATGCTGTTGTGCCGCTTGCACCAATTCTGGAATGGCAGACGGTGGCTTGCCAATCAGATCTTCAAACTTTGTCTGATACCGATTGTACGCCTCTCGCAATTGGTCAGCATGTTTTCTCGAAATGGCATTCGTGCCAAGCTGCATGGTATCCAGCGCAGCGTCAATTGTCACACTTCGTGTTGCCTCCTGGCGCTGACGGATGAGAGCTGCTGCAAAGCGCTTATACTTTCGCTTCACCTCCTCACCGTACTCGCCTGCTGCTGACAGCGCATCTCCCAGGTCCAGGTCTGCGGTATCATCAGGTCCAGTAGTCTGCACCTTGTCAAGACGTTCCTCTGTTCGACGTTGGACCTCAGCCTGAACTTCATCCAAGATACAATTGGACGCGAGTTCTTGCATACGAGCCAGGCAGGTTGCCAGGCTTGCCAGGTTCTTATTGACCACTTTGTCAGCTTCTTGGACAAGCTGCAGCAAGGCTTTGACTTGCTCCGACGCCATCGAAAGCGCAGGCATAGGCAATTGAGCCTTGGCTTGTTGTAGAAAAGCGCCGTCAAGGTCGAGGGAAAAGCGCAAAAGGGCATTCATGGGCTGCCAATCCTTGGTTTTAGCACATGCTAGCACGCTGGTCACGGCCTGACGAGCAAATTTGAGCAGAGAATCGTCGAGTCGGCGCCTGGCACTCGCAAAATCTCCCACCAAATCCGCATCGGCAACCACCTTGAGCTGGCCCATGCATGAATAGCATGCCGCAATCTCGTCAACCTGGTCATGTGCAGATAAGCGCTGCTCAAACACTCGAATTAGGTCTTGCGTGAGGCTACGCCAATGGGCGACAATGGCAGCCAGCGTTCTGGCAGGGTCAAACGAGCTCCTGGCTCCAAAGAAGTTCTGGCTGCGTTGCTGCGCTTCAGCTTGCGAGCCAGCCATGGATTTCAGCCTTTCCAAGCGTCGGTCCAGCTTTTCAGCTTCAAAGCCCGGGGTCAAAATGTCGTTCAGTGATGGCTGATCAACATCCACTGCACCCAACTGCGCGCCACTCGTCTCCGCAGAAACAGCTCCTTTGAGTTGTGCAAACCTCTGCTTAGCGTCTTGAAGCAAGGTCATATCAAAGCTCTCCGACTCCTCCAATCGCTTCATATTGCCGTCAAAGATGGCAAACAGTCGCTCGACACCCTGAACGTCAAAATCTTTTGCCATGTCAATGAAACGGTTCAGGTCATCATCTGCCCGTTTGACAATAGCATCGCAGGCTGGCACAATGGCACGGGTTCGAAGACTCATCAGGAAAGAATCCAAGCCCTTGTCTTTGAGCTCTGTCTCCAACGCCAATAAGCCCAAAACACGCCCAACAGCTGCTGCTGTGAACAAGGTGCCAGTCCTTTCGTCCCTCAGCGCTTCAGCCTGGCGGGTTTGCAGCTCTTGGACGCCGCGCTGGCAGACGTTACGCAACTTTGAGACGAATTCTGCCCTCTCGTGAACACCATCTTTGGCAAAGGTTTGTGCCAAGTTTCGAGCGAATTCTGGGGTCAGCAATTCGAGATGCTCTGCATCCTGGGCTTGTTGTATAGCACCATGCACCTGATTTCGCTGTACACTCAAAGCGCTCTCCGAAGATCTGAAAGGCGGCAACCCGTCCCCCTGCAGAGGGTTGTAGAAGAAATCATCAAACTCACGCAGCTTCGCGCGGGCCAATCTTGAGCCTTGTTCAAAGAGGGTCGTTTCAATCTCGTCAAGTTCCTTGGCGGCAGCCTGGGTCACCCACTGGTTGACATCATCGGCCAAAGCCAGCAAGTTTGGAAAGAGCGTGTTGTCAGGGTCGTACTCTTGTGCGCGAATACGCTCAAAAGCCTTGACAAACCGATTCAGTTTGGGGCCTACACGGGCTTGCACAAGCTGCTCTACCTGCTGACGTGTGGTCGTGTCAATCTCTCTGGCGTATTCCTCAACTTCTGCCAAGTTACCCTTGCGTTCAGCTGGCATTTCGTTGGCAGCATCGTTGTTTGCGTCCAGAGAGCTATCGTGAATCAGCCGGCTGGCGTCAAATACGTCATCGCGTTCGCGACACCTCCAAGAAGTGAGCAGTGCATACAAGACCTCGGCTGAAGCAAACTGGTTTGTCGTGGTTGCTTTCCACAAGCGCTGGTGTAGACGCTTGTAAATGCTGCGGATACTCTTGGAAAATTCAGCCTCCACGTCGTGTAGCTGAAGATCAGGAAGGACCGGCGCAAGCACCTGCAGCCTGGATAGCCTCTCGTCCAACTCATCCATCGCCAGCAAGGTGCCTTGCAGCTTGTCGCCATGGCTCTGTGATTGCAAAACCTGCCGCTCCATGCGCCGTGCTTGCTTCAGTATGTCCCTGGTCGTTGGGCGCAGCTGACGCACCGCAGATTGCACAAGAGATCGGTGGCATGCAGCCCATTCGGGCGTTTCATGTGTTGCAGCGAGCTCGGTGAGAAGTTGCTCAGCACGCTCATAGTTTGCCTCCTCCAGATACGCGTCAAACTGGGACCTGATTTCCTTCAAAGCGCGGTCGTCATCGTCATGCAAGTGGGCTAACAGCTGATCAATGCCAGAAAAGTGCTCCTGCAGTACGCTGGCGCCCAACAGCGCTTGTTTGGCCTCTTGAGCACTCGCGAGGTTGCCACTACTTTGGTTCTGACGGTGCTCCAAAACGAGCTGCTCCAACTTTCGGTTCACTGCATTCTTTGCTTGCGCATACACGGGCTGCCCAAGCTTCTGCATGTCGGGGTTACAACTGTCATTGAGGCCTTGGAGGTAGGCCAGCTCAGCTCGGGTTTGCCCGAGGTCCCCAGCAGCCGTTGCACTTCGGACTGCGTCAAGCAGAGTTTGCGCATGAGCTTGAACTTGGTTCATGAGATCGGTGCGCCTGACCTCTAGACTCGCAAGCAGAGACGACCAATCCTGAGACGGAAACAAATGACAATTGGAGCGGATGTGCTCTGCAAAGGCAATGGTGCGGACCAGCCAGGCCATGTCGTTCTCCCGCGTTGTGGACGGAGCCTTGACAACTTCAAAGGCCTGCAATGTTTTGTCAACCTCGTCCACCGCTGTTGTGAGGCGACGACACTCGAGTTCAACGTGCTCAGGCCCCAGCGTGTCTTGTAGAGGATGAAAGCGGCAGAGATATTGGACGTCAAAGTCATTGATTGGATCCTTGGTTGAAATTGACTCGCACACCGAAGAAACGAGGCTGCCAAGGCTCTCGCGCAGCGCCTGTTCTGTGCGTTGCAGCACAGACTCGGTCGTGGCAACTTGAAGCACGGTGATCATTTGTACAGTCGCGTTGTCTTCATGTGCTTCAAAAAGCTCTGAAGGCTCTTGCAGTATCCGACCATCCACAATGATGGGGTCAAGGCAGCGATATGAGACGAGCTGCTGCGTGGCGCGAGCCATAGCCTCGAAAGCATCTTGACTTGCTTGGCCCTCGACGATTTTGTCAAGGATTATGTTGCTCTCCGTGTGCAGAGCGGCCAGCTGGCTGAGGAGTGTGCGCGCTTGATTCTGCACATCCCGCACCGCGCTATTGCGTCGAAACACTGCGACAAGCAGCGAAAGCTGCTGGAGACTCTTTTCGGCCGCCGACAAATTGTTTTTGGCCATTGCATCATTAATGGGGCGTCCAACGCCGGTCCGAATGGCGCCTTCAAATGTGGCCTTTTGGCTCTGAAAGTACGGCGCCTGGCCGGGCGGCAAATACTTGGAAGCAAAATTCTCTTCTAGCCCTTGCAACAAATTCAGAGTACGCCCGAGTCGCTGGACTTGAGCCTCATCTGCACTGCAATCGGCAATCAGGTTGCTGATGGTCAGGATCGCCTTGCACATGATCTCAACCACAGCGTTGAGCGCTTGCTTGTCGTTCTCAAACATGGTTTGCACGACCTCGAGCTCCGAGACAGAGCTATAGGCACAACCGCGTTCATGCAGGTCGAGCGCCTGGTGCAAAGCCGGCCATTGATTATAATCAAACAAACCAGCTTGTTGCGTGCTCTCTTTTAGAGCGGCAACCACGGTGCCAAGCGTGCGCTGCGCCTCTTGGGCGTGTTCGCGCAACTGCTTGGCCAAGGGCGGCCAAAGCTGCTTGACTTGGCACATCGATGCCAAGTAAGAATCAAACTGGATCAGTTGCGGCACCTCTGGTAGGACGTCGGCATCAAATGGGAGTTTCTCATTGACCTTGCGGATGCGATCATGCAAAGCCTCTCCAACGGCGCGCACCATCCCCTTCAAAGTCTGTAGCAGTCGAGAATGATCCCACGACTGTGTCGACAAATCTTGAAGCTCCGGGCAAATATTGCCAAGCTCACAAAGCTTCTGCTCTGCCACGGTTGGCTGCTGCAACTCCGGATTGAAACAAGACAACTTTTGCAGCAGCTGCATTTGACGTGCTGCCTCTTGATACTCGGCTGCACGCAGTGCACTGACAAAGCCCTGAATGTGGCGCTGTACTAGCGCCGCCACCTGGCTAAGGCCTGATATGTAGCGCTCAGTAATCGCTTCATCAGCAATTTGTTCAGCCAGGATGCGCATGGTGGACAAGGTGCCAACACCTTTCCAGAAGTTCTGCTCCTTGTTTGTCAAGATCTTGATCAGCTCCTCCAAGCATTTGCCGACGGCAACCCGAACTTCGGCCACCTCGCTATCCTTCAAGGGGGATCCCAAGGTTGCCGACGCCGAGGCATCGCATTCACCAATGTGTTGGGAGATGATGCGAATGAGCCCTTCCGGATCGTTGTCCCAGTGGGGACGAAGCAGGACCTTTTCTTCAAAAAGCGCAAGCTGTTTCTTCATCAGCACAATGAGCTTTTGCTGGTACTCGGATGCTTGCACGCTCATGCGGCCACTGAACTTATTCAAGTATGCCAGGATGCCTTTGCTTGCGGTAGAATCTCCCAATCGCGAGTAGAGAAAGAGAACACCACGGTCCAAAGTCTTGATGTCAGGGAAAAAGCGTTCCAGGATTTGAAACTGCTCGTCCAAGTAGCTGCTGTCGCCGTGCAAGTTTTGAAAATTGATCAGGAAGAGGACGCGTTTGCGGGGTGTTTGGGACAAAAGGTAGCGCAGCCCAATGCTGTTTGTGATGGTCAAGGCTTTGTTTCGCGTGTCGCCAAAGCCCGCAGGGTCAACAACTATCATGTCATTGACCCATGCAAAGCGCGGCTCGATAGTCTTGGCTTCGATACCGTCCCCGACAATGCCTTGTACGTCCTCGGGACCATTGCGGTCCACGTCAAGATGCTTGCCGAGCTCCGTGTCCTCTTCAAAAATCTTGATGCCGCGCAGATGCGACCAACAAAGGCTTTTGCCAGCACCACTCTTGCCCAGTAGGTACACGACGCAAGGAACAGGGTCTCGAGCCCTCAAGCCAAAGGCTTTCAACAGCTTGTCGTGGAAGGCATTGCGCTCTGCAGCCATGGTCGCCAGTTCTTCGGCGTCGATGCTCTTTGCAAATTCCACTTCTTGCTCTTGGGTCGCATGCGCAGCGGCCTCCAGTTGGATCGTGGTGGGCTTGGGTACCTCACAGGTGGTAGCAGTGGCGACAGCAGAAGCAGCCAGAGGCGGAGCGGTCGCTTGAGGGCTGGTCGCTTGAGGGCTAGAAGCATCTTCACCTGCTTGCAAACATTCCAGCAGGGGCGGTTTTTTTTTGTGAGCAGGTGGCGTGCCATAGTCTTTTGGCATTGAGGCGCGCGAAAATCTACCTGAGCTCAATGCATCGTTCTCGGAAACGTTGCACCATCCACCATCGATACCTTCTGCAGCATGATGACTCATGAGCAGAGGAGTGCTTGGACGCCTTCCAAGGCGCGTGCCAGATTTGTTTGGCAGACTATAGTCAAGTCCAGCCAGTGAGGAACCTTTTCTGTGTCACTAACGTGGATGGTGCGACCAACATACCCATTCATTGCCATCACTTGCGAGCTTGTCTGATCTGGAAAAGAAAATGAGCTTCTTGAAAAGCGCGGAGGGACGAGAAGGCTCTTGGATGAAGGAAGCCTCACTAGAGTTACGAGCAGGCCTGCGGGTTCTTGCTTCTTGCCCTTCTCGTAGGCGGTCATGTTGGAGTCCGAAAAAGTCGTCTGCTTTTAACATTACAAGCATTTATTTGCAATTGCTTTGCACTTGCTTGGTTTGGGACTCATTTGAACGTCGAACGGGAGCAATGTTGGGAGATGAGGACGCAAATCTGGTCGCACAACGTGCGCAAGAGTCGCTGTACAACGCCACTCAGAAAGCGCTTGCTTCGATTTTCAAAGGGACATGAACACATCACACACACACACACGTAAAGCAAAAAGGAAAAAGACAGCACAGGCACATGTAAACACACTTTCAGACTTCGTTTGACTACGTCACGCATCTAACACTGGGGGACTCAACTATTACATGTATGAAGGACAGCGCACAGCACCCTCTTGCGATCAACCTTGACAAGTTTCAGGCAGAATGAAAGGTCCATCAAGCCCGGAAATTGCCGACAACCTCAAGCTCAAAGACAGGGGTCGCGCCATTGGTCAGCAGCGACACGATCCCTGCATGGTCCAGGCCGTTGACTTCGTAATCGTTGATCTACGTACGCCAGCAAAGCAAGGTGCGAGATGAGTTTGAGCATGTTGGGCACAAACGCGAAGACACATCAGTCAATAGGCAAGCCTCACCGTCAGGATGCAATCGCCACGGCTCAGGCCAGCGACTTGCGCGCTGCTGGTCTCTTGAACATGTGTGACCATCGGATACTCGCCTCCTTCCCGAGTTTCAAAGGTAAAGCCGAGGTTTTTGGAGCTGCGGCGTCGCAACGTGATACCACGGATTCCCAGTATGGGGGCCTCATCGAGCCACGGGAAAGAGCAGCGCTGCACCGCCAGGTGCTTGGGTGAAGCCAATTCGCGGCGAATGGCCGACAACAGACACAAATCAGCTTGGCCCGTGCTTGATGGGGCTGTGGCATCCTCACGCGTGAGTGCAGCAAGAGAATAGGCATCGCTGGCGTAGCGATGGCCGGCCTTGAGCAGGATATCTCCGTCCCAGATGCCGAGGCCACGAAGTTGAGCGGCCTCATCGGCAAAGCGGTAGCAGCCAAGGTGCGGATCCCAGACCAAGCCCTCCTGTAGCGCTGCGACCAAACGCTGATCCACCTTCTCAGCCGTAAGGCTGATAGTCTTGACTTCGGGCGCCTTGTCGATGACAACACGCCCTCGCTGGACGGTCATTTCCAGCTCATCTGATTGGCGAAGAAGGCGAACGACTCCGTCAAGATCTGCTTCCTCGGTGCGCACCCCGTTGATTGCCACAATCAAGTCACCCGGAACCAAGACTTCGCCACGAAAGCGCCCACAGCTGGCCACTCCAGCCACGACAATGCCTCGCACACGCTCGTCTTCGGCCAAGTGGATGCCGAATCCTTGAGCCCCACGCTCAATGTGCACAAGCAGTTCCTCCACGCTCTGGGTGCTACCGGGAACCGGTGATGGGTTTGCTAGCAGCACCAGTTCAGCGGTCGAGCCTGCAACAAGGCAAAGGTGAGATTTCGAGATTTGAGCAAATTGAGCGATGTCCTCCTTGATGTGTATTAATAACACATATAAAAAAAAAATAACAAAAGAAAAACCAGAGTAAAAAATCAATTGAGCGCCTTACCGTTGTTGAGCCACTGCATCACGTGCTCCAGAGTCCGGTCTGCTGTGAATTCGTTGTTGACCATCTCCAAAATATCACCCACAAGAACACTGCCGGATCGCTGGGCAGGCCCACCTTCGGCCACAGCCGCAACCCGAATCGCGTCCTCATGCTCATCGTATACCAGGTCCAGGCCCAAGCCCAGACGCGGATCGCGTTGCAGCGTAATTACCCGACGATCGACGGGGTCCACGCCCAGCAAACTCAGATCCGACGAGAGCGTCAATGTCACGACCTGCCGCGAGGTGAGCATGACGACAATGTCGCCATGTGGCATATCAAGGACGCTGGTACCGTCAATCTCGACAATGACGTCATTCAAAAAGACCTGCCCGCTTTCAAAGGCGGCACCCCCAGGCACAAGGTTTGTAATGACGGCACCCACGTCCAGATTCTCAGGATGGGAAACCTTCATCCCCAGCCCGATGTTGCCTCGATGAAGCGTCACAACGCGAATGTCCTCCAGCTCTAGTGCGAGGTGAGGATCATGGCCTGGAGCTGAGCTTGAGGTGTCTCCGGTCGTTAAGAGGTCCAGCGTCACTTCATCGTGCGCTATGAGCAGGTTCACGATGTCCTCGTGAGTCATGTTTGCCAGGTCCATGCCATTGATGCGCTCAATCACGTCGCCCTCGAAAACGAGGTTGGACCGGTCGGCAGCGCCTCCGTCTAAAACCTGTTCGACCACCGTGTGCCCGATCGTCAAGTTTGAACGGATTTTAAAGCCAAAGCCGCGAGAATCACGGCGCAAAAGCACGGTACGCTGGTCCGGAACAAGGGCCAATCCTAGCAACCCGAGGTCGGAAGACATGACCAGATCCACGCTGTTGCTGCGCGAGAGCAGCTGAACGATGGCCTCGTGCTGCATCTCTAGCACGTCCATGCCGTTGACGGCCACAACTACGTCATTGATAAAGATCATGCCCGAGCGCTCCGCCAGCGAGCCGGGCACAATGGCCGTAACACACGCTCCTTGGTTGTTATTTGCCAGCGACGAAATTTTAAGGCCAAACCCTTGCCCCGGCTCTCGCACCAACCGAACCATACGTCGCTCGTTGGCCGTTCGCCCCACAGATGAGCTCCCGTCATTTGTCGCAGCCACGGAGAGTTGGCTTGAGCGTCGACGGGCCAAAATGGCTTTGGCGTCCACCTCCTGATCGGGTACAGGGAGGGGGGAGTCGTCGTCGCACAGCCAAAGCTCGAGGTCACTGCTGCCAAGCAAGAGGCGAATGGCTGTCTCGTGCTGAACAAAGCGGAGAGACTCGCCGTTGACGGCAACGATAATGTCTCCAACGGATATGCCGGGACAAGCCGCGGCAATGCCGCCTGTGGCCACACGACTGATGCGGACCACGCCGCGGCCTTCGTCCGTAGATATAGTCATGCCCAAGCCCGAGCCCTCATAGCGGCAGAGTTGAACCACCTTGCGGGTTCCGGGGAGGTCGGCGCACATGGCATCAACCTCATCCTCAGTAAAGTCCGCAGCCGTGGACCCCGCCGTTGCACGGCGCTGTGGCTTGGGCGAGGATGCCAGGGCTGCCGGAAGCGGCGAAACATCGCCCTGCAGCAATAGCGCCACTTGCCGACCCGAGCCCTGAATCATGGCCACAACCGAGTCATGGTCTACGTTCCAAGCATCCTGGCCATTAATCTCCAAGATGCGATCCCCCGGGCGCACCGTGCCGCAGGCCTCAGCCGAGCCGCCGTGAACAAGCACGCCAATGCGAGGGTGGCGTCCAGCAACATCGGAGGCAATGGTGAAACCAAAGCCAGTTGGGCCCCGATGGACCATGGCGGTCCGCAGATCTGCAACCTCTGGCTCGGGAAAGTTTGCCACAATAAAAATGATGCTGGCACTTTCTTGCAATTGAGTTACGGCGGCGTTGAGGTCCATGTCAAAGACTGGGCGCCCATTGAGTTGCAAGATCATGTCGCCTTGGCGGATTTGCTTCGTCTGCGCGGCTGGCCCCTCGTTGGCGAGGCGTGAAATGCGCAGCAGCCCGCGACCCGCGGCGGGCTCGACGAACATCCCATAGCCTCGATCGCCACGGTGTAGTTGGATGGCGCGGACGTTGGCACCGCCATACTTGGCAATGTAATTCTCCACGCGGTGATCACGTTGAAAGGCCGCATCACGAAGGCTCTCTTTGTAGATGGCGTAGCCATGAAGATTGTAACGCACTACTAAATGCATGGCACGACCAGTCTCGGCGAGAGCGTCGGAAGCCAGAGCGCTGCTGTGCTCGCCAACGTCGATACCATTGATAGCAAGGATCTGCATACCTTCCCGAAGCTTCTCATACGCCGGCCCCGCCTCGTCCACACCGGTGACATACACGCCCTTTGCACCATCCAAGCTCACTTCCACCATGGCAAAGCCAAAGCCGCGCGCCCCACGCTCTAGTTGCACCTCACGCTTGCGAACCAGGGCAGCGTCAAAGGTTTGCTTGGTCAGCGAGGTGCAGCGGTGGAGGCGGGACGTCGGATCTCGTGCGACCGCCGTATCCACGCCCAAGTTGGGCGTGCTCTTTGTCAATAAGCTCTCCAGCGCATGTCGTGACAGGCCGTAATAGACACCGTCCCGTTCCGTCCATTCGACCAGCTCCCCAGCCTCGATCAAGGCTTCAAAGCGCGTGCGGGTGACAAAGGCATAGTCAACACCATCCACTTCATTCTCACGGGGTGGGCGCGTGGTTAGCGGTACGGGGACACTGGGATCATTGCGCCGGATGTCGGCGCGAATTGCTGCTAATGTGCCATCATTCTCGGAAGCCGAGGCCAACAAATCCTGTCACCAGTACAGGTAAGCGATCATAAGTATGACGTCTGGGACGGATGGACCAGCGGTTCAGAGCTCGCACTTTCGCAGCCGTACCTTGACAGTGAGCGCCGGCAGGGCGGCCGCAGCGCTGCGGAGCACCAGCAGCTCGAGTTGCTCGCCACCATCTGTCTCCCGCATTACCTCATTGACAGCATCCAGGGTAGCGCCTGCCAGGTTCTGGCCATTGATGGCCAGCAAGCTGTCGCCCTGTTGTGGCATCACGATGCCCCATCGAGCGGAAGCAGTTGAGATGAGGCAGGGTTCAGAACCATATTTGGGCGAGCATATTGCCGCGTTGCGGTTTACACTTACAACGCGAAGGTGGCCGTAGGTTGTACTGAGGTGATGGGGTTTGTCCAAGTCACGAACTGCAATCAACTGACTTCCCTCTTGAGTTGCAACTCCAAAAGCGACACCAAAGCCACTCATGCCCCTGCGCCCCAAAATGACGGCATTGACGCGCGTAATGTTACGCTCCCGGTTCTTGATGGCATGCTATCCAGGTTCGACGGGTACAACATGTCCGACATGTAAAATTGAGATTGGTGCCCGGGTGCCCATGTCCTGGCGAGCAGGCGTTGCGCACAGACAATCGGCGAAAACTTACGCGGAATGTCTCACGTCGTTCCATGGAGCGTCCGACTTCGAGCTCAGAGGGCAACGGCTTGCGAGTGCCGTAAAAGTGGCCTTTATACTTGCCCCACTCTATCATTTGACCGCTCTCAATCAACTAAGGGTCAGAGCACGCGATTCAACCTAAACGTGTGAGCACGGCGAGCGACCGGGCAACAGGCCGGCGAGGGATTTACAACACGTTGCACTGAGCAGGATTGCACGCACCGACTCAAATGCTTTCACAGAAACGAAATTGTACTCGCGACCATCAACCTCGCCACTTTGGCTAGGGCGGGTGGTCACGGGAATCGTCATCGCGTAAATTCTTTCTTTGACGTGTTGTTGCAATGACGCTTCGTTCTCAGACAGAGGCTCCAGGTTGACCAGATCAGTCACCTTGCTGGCAGCAGCCCCCCGGCGCTTGAACACGGTCAGCTGCATCGTTTCGTTGGCAGCTTTGATGAGGTCAACGACCTCGTCATGGGGCAGGGCCGCAACCGAGGTGCCATTCACTGAAACGATCTCATCGCCGGTCAGCAAAGCGGGCCCTTGCAAGACCACGGGTTCGGCACCTTGCTTAAGAACGATGGCAGGTAACAGATCATCCTCAATGCCACCAGCGACACTAAAGCCAAAACTTCCGCTATCGTTTCGCTGCACAATAACCGCCACGGGTAGGTACGTCACTCCTCGGCGATTGCGATTCTTCTTCCGTGCAGCACGAACAGACGGGCTTTCGCCAGCGTGACGTAGGCGTCCCACTTCTTCCGCACTCGATCGACGCCCATCGTTGTCGTCCCCACTGAGTGTCGCGTCGTTGGTCAACTCGCTGTCCAGACGACCAGTAGCTTCCGGCAGCTTGAGCGCTGGCGTGGCGTTGGCCACAGACGGCGGCGTGAGGGGAAGATCACAAACGACATCTACCCAATAGTCAGCTCGAAGAGCGTGGTGCACAATGTTTGCAACGGCTCTCACAGTCGTGGCCAGCTCGGGTCCCGTGACAACAACATGGGTAAAGAGGGCCTGATGTTCGGCTTCTGTCCTCAGCGTAGCCTTATACAGAGCAGCCACAGCGTCCGAGGGAGGCTCCCTCGCGTCGGGAGACGGCGCGTCATTGCCCTCTTCCGTTGAACCCGCGGGCTTGAGTGAGCACTGCAAATCAACCATGTTGTTGGGCTTGAGCAGGATGACAATTGGATGGATGTCACCGAACAGCTTGAGGCGTTGCACGGCCTTGAGCTGGGTGTCCAGAATCACAATTTTGCCCTCGCTGGCGGGCTCTTGAATTGCGGCCAGTGATGTGCCATACATGTTGTCCTTGTATTTGCCTGCTTCGATAAACAGGTGCTGCTGAATGCCTGCCTCCATCTCGTCGCTGGTTACAAAGAAGTAGTCGATGCCGTCGCGTTCACCGCGACGCGGTGCACGTGTCGTGTGAGGAATGGCGTGTACAAAGTCGTAGTTTGACAAGACATGCACCATAGCCTCCGTGATCCGCAGGGATTCAGGGCCCACGACAGCCAACGGGCGCACGGAGATACGGCCCGCTGCGTCCTGCCCTGCCCGCCGCAGCTGTACCACGCCGTAGCTAAGTGCAGGAACGTCTTCTTCATGGTCCGCCGCTCGCGTTCGGCGGCTGCTGGAACGACGCTGGGAGCGTCGGAGCGAGCGGCGAAAAGCCTTGGACTGGCTCGTGGGGCTCGCACGTACATCGGCTTCTCGCTTGGCACGCGACGGGATCTTGCCTGTTTGTCCCGTCTTGATGTTCTCGGCTAGCCACCAATCTGCGTGCGTGACATCGGTCACCTTGAGCACGTCCCGGATTTCGAACCGCAGCAAGCCGTCTTCAGCCAAGTCCTGGGTGAAAAGGGCTCGAACGTGAAAGGGCAGGGCTGGATAGGGCTGTGCAGTGACCGCAGCGGCCTTGCGCTTGGTACGCAATGAATTGCGGATGCGTGAGTGGCGACTTCCGGCGCCGTTGGAGGCCAAGCGTGGCCGTGCTGGATTTGTATTGGCTTGCACGTGAGCACAGCGATCAAAGCCTGCGCGGTTAAAGCGTACAACCAAGGCCAAGGGCGAGCCAGGCTTGTGCTTGGCCAACAAGTCGTTCAGTCCCGTCTCGGTCATGTTTTCCGTGCTCTCGCCTTGCAGCTCCAGCACCTCGTGGCCCACTTGAAGGCCAGCCTTGGCCGCAGAACCTCCTTCGTCCACGGAAACGACAAAGATACCACGCTGATCAACGTCTTCTGAGCACATAGACGGCGCCGCAAGCTGCCAGCCCAAGCCTGCGCCAGCAGCCTCAATCATCACGCGTTGCCGACTGCCGTTGCGTGCTTGGCTCAGGCGCAAATAGCCCTCAAGGTTGGGGACAACCAGCAGGCTAACGGAACTACTTGAGCTCTGTGCCTGATTGATGTACTCCATGCAAGCTTGGTAGGAGCATGTGGCCGTGGAATGCCATTCTCCGGGTGTTGCGCCGCTCACTTTGAGGATCTGATGGCCGACAGCTAAATGTTCTTGGGCCACACAGCCTGCGGCATCAAAGCGGGCCACGTACACGCCGGAGCGCTGGAACCCGTTGCTGTTCTCATCAACGCCGGTGAGTACAAAGCCAAGGGGCGCGTTGCTCGGCAGCTCTACGAGCAAAGGCTCGCCGCTTGGTTTGCTGGCACACATTTTCAAAAAGCGCTGCTGCTGGCGCGCAATGTCGTAGGGTCCGACTTCTCCCTCGGCACTGCCCACACCTTCGGCCACCTCGAGCTCAACGCGCCCATTGCTCATTTCAAGCAGGCGCTCAATTTCAAGAATCGAAAGGCTGGCAACCTCGTCGCCGTTGAGAGCGATGAGCTGGTCACCAACCATCAGATGCCCATCCTCCTCGGCCACACCACCGGCGTGCACAAATGCAATGTAGACCCCATGGGGAGGGTCAGGACGCTGAAGGATAGTAAAACCAAAGTCGCAGCTGGGCGACTGCAAAACAATCTTGCGTAGCTTTAGGGTTTTGGGCTGCACATCCCGGCGGTATTGTTCGTAGCCTCGCGCATTGGGGGCCAGGCTAAGACGCACTTCAGCATCGCCCGTCCGGAGAAGAGACAGGGCGTCTTCGATCGAGGCTAGACACACATCTTCATCGTTGATGCGCAAAATTTGTTGCCCCACTTGCAGGTGCGTTACAGCAGCCGCGGGCGAGTCATCAGCAATGGCTGCGATGAAGATACCGGCGGCATCATCCTCCAGCGAGGTGGGACCACATATTGTCAACCCTAGTGACGCAGCGGGGTCCGTCCGTCGTAGAGTTGCGGTAAAAATGGCCCGAGAACCTTGCACCCGCTTTGACTTGCGCTTGCGGCGTTCAGACGAGCGTTTGATGGAACTCTGGTGCTGCTTGGCCTCGCGTGCATACGGTTCAAAGCCTTGTGTATTGCTTTGGACCTCAAGAACAGCATGCATGCTAGCTGCGTTGAGCACGTTGTGAGCATCGCCCACCGTGCAGCCCCACATATCAATGTCATTGATGCGCACGACTTGATCACCGACGGCCAGTTGGTCCGCAACCCCGGGAAAGTCCTGGTCAATAAAGGATACAAAAATGCCCGGGTGGACCGCAGCCTCGTGTTGGGGTCCCACAAACGCAACGCCAAATCCTTTGCCGGTGCGCTGCAATTCCACGCTGCGCGCAGCACCTATAGACCAAACACGTCAACGTGCAGGTGAGTGGTTCTGACAGGTCTTGACTGCATGATTCGATAATGGGCAAGTGCACAGATCAAAAGACAACGAGCAAATCTCAGCGCAAGTAATTCTCTTCACATAGCGCGGCGCCAGGACGTACGGTTGTTGCGGAGCATGTATTTGTGCCACGCACGGCCCTTATCTGTCACCACCAACTCCAACGCATCGGTGCCCTCTGCCTCCACGTTGATTGTTTCAACGGCATCATCGACAAGGCAGTTGAGCAGCGAGATGCCATTGATCTCCTAAAGGTACACAAAGTTCGGATGCAAGGGCCTTGTGATGTGTGACGCTGAAGCACAGACACAAGTTTCTACTATGCTGCCAGTCGGGATCCCAGACATACCAGAATCTGATCTCCAACATGCAGCCCTTCCTCCAACAAGGCGGCGTTGTTCACAGCAGTAATGTAGATTCCGTCGGCTCTGGCCTCTGTTTGGCGTGGACCATCGACCTCAAAGCCCAACTCACCTGCAAGCGTGAGGCGGAGCGATTATTTGAGTCAGCATATGACGCAAACGCCCGCCTTCCCCAATCGCACATGCATCAACGGCACGTGCATGATTTCTGGAGCGAGAGCTTACCGGCTGCCACGTTGATGATGACTGGGCGCAAGTCCGCTGGATCGTAGTCGGCCATGATGCTCTCGTTAAACTGTGCCATCTGCTCCTCAAAGTACTCCATGCCCTTGGGGTTACCGACGACCAAAAGTTGGAGGGTATTGCCCGCCTCGGCCAAGGCAGACGCAGCAATCTCTTGGGTGACGTGCTTGAGGCAGAGCGAATTGACCTCAAGGATCTGGTCGCCAGGCTGGAGGCGCCCACTCTGGCTGGCAATGGAGTCACCATGCATTTTGCTGATAAAAATGCCGGCCTTATCCATATCCCCGACCCGACTGCCGACAGGTGCCAGCAAAAGGCAAAGAATGAGCCGATGCGTACGGGGGGGGGGACAGCACATGCATTGCAAATCGACCAGTCGGGCTTACCATGCAGGACCCGTGACCTGCAAGCCCCACGGCTGGGTATCACTATTGCGGGTCAGGACCACAAGGCGTCGCTCGGTCAAAGACTCGGCCGTCGTGCCGGGGGGCACGAGCGGGCAGTAATGCCATCGAAATGACTAGAGTGGGCAAAGGTGATGTTTGTGAGGAATTCAAGCAGGCAAAGTGCCAAATGCTCGAAAGGGGGCACACACACACACACACACACACACACACACACACACACACACACACACACACAACACACCTCGATGGCATAGCGTTGAAACCCTTTGAGATTGGTCTTGACTTGAAGAGTCAAGGTCTCGGCGTCGTCGACCTCCAAAAGAGACCATGCTTCGCGCACGGTCACGCGCTCGATGAGCCATCCATTGATATCGATAATCTGCTGGCCCCGTTTCAATCCTGTACCAGCTGAAGCGGAGCCAGCCATGACTGCGGACACAAAGACCCCGGGAGGATCGTCAATCTCCTCCTCGCTAGTGCCAATGAGCTCAAACCCCAGCGAAGCCCCATCACAAGGGATTTGAATCTACTCAGGAAACACCAAAGGGCCAGCACAATGCCTTCGTCAGCTGTACTGGTCATTCCCGCTCCAGAAGCAGCTTCATATGTGAGCTTGTGATGCGATGGTTCAAATGCGAGGAGACATGCCGTCTGAACATCGGGTGTAAAAGGAGCAGTCTTGCTCATGCTCTGCCGAGGAGAGTGCACCGGGGGTGCCGCGATAGCCACTTTGGATTGAGGCAAACTGGAGGCACGTTTCCTGTGCGCATGGTTGAGCAGGATCTCGTGAGCGCTGAGATGCATGAGACGTGGTCCTGTGCAGCCCCGCTGCTCAAAAAAAACGAGAATACGGGCATACCTGGTGTCTGGGACAATCTGAGACTCTGCCACGGGTGCTGACTCTTCTTTGATTTCATCCGAGTGCCAGACGAGGCGTGAGATGGTCATGTCAATCTGCCCAAAGTGCATGTCAAAGTCAGGGTGAGGCTCTTCTTTCAGGGAAGCGCAGGAACAGGAAAAGGAGGGTGCCACAAACCTCTTGCAGTCGTACAGCCTCCGTAATGGCAGCTACGGCTTCTTGATGCGTCACCTGTGTCAACGGGGTGCCATTGACTGCCCTACGGACAGGTGCATGCAAGCGAACCAAAAAAAAAAAAAAAACGATTGTCATGTCATGCTGGCTCACTATGCCTCATATCTTCGGCTGGCTTTTTCCCAGATACAGGGATGTCCAGCGTGACGCCTTACCAGATGCGATCGCCCTCGCGTAGGCGACTGTTAGAGTCCGCAGCACTTCCTTGGAGAACCTTGGTGATGTACACAGAGCTATCACCTGGTCGGACGCAGTCGTCGATTCCGCCTGTGATTCCCAAGCCCAGGATCTGACCATCGTTCAAGGTAATGCAGATACGTTCGCGCACTTCCTTGTAGTTGTGGCCTATGGAGCCGTGGATGAGGAAAAGCACGGCCGCACGAAAGCATCAAATGGTTGCCAAAAATTCAACCCACCATCAATCGTTTGTTCATGGCCTGCGCGAAGGATAGCCGAAGCTGTTTTGGCGATGGTTATTGACTTGGGTTCAACCACGGTTGGCTGCATGATCGGGGCACGCTGTGCTTCAGGGCCACGAGTCACAGTAGTCTCTCCAAATCGGTCTCGAATCTCCTCAGTCAGCTGGTCTTGCAAGGTCATGGGACCTGTTGCGGTGGGAGGGTGAAATATTGTGAAGCGCTCTTCAGCTTGGACAACCATGGGAATCAAGCCCAGCTGCATTGACGTGTCGGAACAACAGCACAGCCTTCGTACCTTGCAGAGCTCCATCGCCAGTGTCGACGTCTGCTGACTGCGCCGGTGCTTGACCTGGATTTTCAGAACACGACGGGGAGGACGGGCATGCAGCTATGAAATCATTGCTGCCTTGGACCATGTTTGATGAAAAGCGCGTCAGCCAGCGTGCATTGCAAGAAAACAGCAAAGAGCATACCGCCACGTTTGAGACGAGCAACGTCAACCACCAGAACGCGGTCACTCTCAGAGAGGATAGTATGAAGATCAGTGAGTGTATGCTCCATACTGGGCTCGCCATTGATGCCCAAGAGGACGTCACCCTCGGCCAGCAAGTCTAAAGAGGCGGCTAAGAGAGGGCACCGATAGCCATGGACCCAGTCAAGAGCAAGGTGAGGGTATGTACAACACCGCAGCCATGTCATCGGTTGTGAGGAGCAACGGCCTCGAACCTTGCCCATTCAGCCGATCAATGTACACGCCCTCGGGCTCGCTGCCTTTATGAGTACGCAACACGATGCCTTGGCCGGCCTGATTGCGCACAATGCAGGTTCGCTACAAGATCAGGCAAGAGAATCGAGTGAGACCATCAGGGTGGGTGGCAATGCACAAGGCGATTTGTTCAAACGCACAAAAAGTTGGCAATGCTCGCGAATCGGCTGTTGGTCCAGGAGTTCGGGGTGTGCGCGGACGCGCTGTAACACGGCTTGAACACTAAGGCCCGACCCACACACAGACAAAGCTCGGTGAGGTCTGCCGATGGAGAAAGTAGCCCATGCTCACGGAATGCAACATACGCCTGGGTGGGATCGTCGGTTTCCGAGTTGCGCAGCGTATTCTCAATGGCACGCTGAATGTTTGATCCCTATGGAGCAAGGCCGACCGGCAATGAGGTGGGAGGCCTCGAGGCCGGGAAAGTCGACAGAGTCGCGGTTGGCCAGGCGCGCGGGCGTACTGTTGCTACGGAGATGCTCTGAGCGGCACGCGAGCCCCGGCGGCTGGGGCCCATGGGTCGCTTGCGACGGAAGAAGGTGTGTTGCTGAATGGCACTGCTCCACAGGCCCTTGCACTCGAGTTTTGTTGCCAGAGCGTATGCCGCGCTCAGCATCTCTTCAGGATCCTCATCCACAAAGTGGATGATGAAGCGCGCACGTTTGAACAAAATCTTCTTGATGCAGCGCCTGCGAATGCACACAGCATGGTTGGTGACAGACCCCCAAGGCAGTTGCGGGTCTGGACCTTTGGTGGCGCTCGGCCATGGGAGGTCAATGCGAGTTCGAGCCTACCAAGGGTATTCATTGACGCAATGCTGGCGACGATACACATAGAGACCCAAGGGGGCCACAGCCAGGCGAACAGCTGAGGCACAAAATCAGGTAAGACGACATTGAGGCCAGGCTCGAAGAGAAGAGCGGTTGATCGTCGGTCGTTGACTTGAACACCAAAAGACATCGTGGGCTGGCCGATGGGGCAGAAAATTTGGTAATGCAAAAACGAATGGCACGCTAGCTTCACCTTGGCCTGCATCATTGTGACATTCATAAAGGTCGTAACCGTACATCTCTTGCCGCTGAGCCAACTCGATGAAGGCGTCCTCTGCCGCATGCTCGCTCATGCCGCTGCCATTTGACAGGTTGGTGATTATGAGTGCAGAGAGGATCTGGGTAAGAAGCACCTGAGTGGGACGACACCACATACGCGCAAGCTTTGTGCCATTCAATGACGCTGGGCGTGGGGCAGCTGGTGCTGATACCCACGAGACTGGCAGCGACCAGATAGTCGCCTGTGGCGTGCTGATCATCCGCCCAGTCACCATAATGTGCCTAGAGAGTGTTATTCGAAGCACGACAAGACGCATCAAGATCAGGAGGCGGAAAAAAAAAAAACACGAGAGAAAAGAAAATGAGTAAGAGCTGGAAAAGGAGAAGGTGTCGGGAGGAGAGTGGTCTTGTACCTGGGCAGCATAACCGAGAAGTTGTGGAAAAGCTTCTTCATTAGGCAAAAGGCTGGTGGGCATGCCGGGTGAGCCTCGAACTGCTTGGCAAAGTTTTGCGAACCGGCACAAAACGGGATCGAGTTTGCAAGTGACTCACCGACGATCTTTGACGTCGGAAAGGAGCTGCAGATAAAAGAGGAGGCGTGGGTACTCGGACCAGGTGGCCACGATGGCGTAGCCAGCATAGTACTTGACACGCAGCTCAAGTTCGAGGGGGGTCTCACCCCAAGACGATGACTGGCCGCAAGACGAGATAACCAGATGAGCAGAGGGGTTTTGTTGCAAAGGGGGGGGCTGTGCCTTGTGCGGTGGGGCCGGCCCATTGTAATAGCAAAGAGCTTAAATATAGTATGGGCTTTTGAGCCCGTAACCATTGCAAGCCTCACCTTCGTGCCGTCGCCCAGCTGGCGCTGAAGTGCTTCATCGAGCAGGACCCATTGATAGCGTGCATGCTGTCAGGGCATTCAAGTCGAGGTGAGGGTGGTGGTGTTCTGAAGCTGCAGAGGTACGGCGTGGATGACTGTGCCTGGGGCAAGATGGCCTAAGAAAGAGTGTGGTACCTTGTTGATTGTGTAGGAAGTGCCGTGATGACTAGAGCGTGCGCGCGGACGAATCATGTATCGGAGGCCAAAAAAGTCTAGCTCACGGAGGCCCAGATCCTTGCTGATCAGGTCCCAGATGGCACGTCCCTTGGCCTTGCGCTGCGTGCAAGCGGAAGGCAGAACAGGGGATACCGAGCTAGGGTGAGGTGTCACCGAAGCTGGGGCAGGCCAGTTTCTACAGCGTGCTCCGGACGGGTGTGTGGGTTGGATTGACACGACGGGTTGGATACTTTGATTCCAAGGCCGACAAACCTCAACGAGATATTCATGCCGCTCGCCGTCGAGAGTGCGGACCGTAATGGGCAGCAAGTGGGCGCTGCCCGCAGGTGCGGTGAGAGCCGTGCTCATCCCAGCGAGGCAAAGGGGGCCTCAGATAGCCGAGCGAGTGCGCAAATCTGTGCGCGAGTTTGAGTCAAGTAGACTTGAGCAGCGGGACTGGGGTGCAGTCTTCACTGCATCATCCTGACCGCAGCCAAATTGATCTTGAGCAAGGCGAAACGGCCGTTGGTCGAACCCCAGGCAATTTTGGTAGTCGCAGTCCAAAGCGTGGTCCGGGTTTGTCAAGATAGAGAACAAGGGGTGGCGGTGAGAAAACGAGCAAGAGAAGAGGGGCAGGGGCAGCTTGGGGCGTGGGCTGAGGTCTCTTTTGCCTAGAGCTGGCTGGTTTGAATCAACATAAACAAGTTTGTGCGGTTGAAATGTCTTTGGGTGGCCTACCGCTTGCTGCGTGATGGCGGCTACACTTTGGCTGGAGGATGAGGGAAGTCAGAGTGAAAAAAGTGCCGGTCCATTTTTTCGGTGGCAGCGCAAGCCGTCGCCACCGTTGGCTGCCCAGCTTTTCCAGAACGTTTGAGTTTGCAGCGACAACAATCCTGACCAGAGCCACCAACGGACAAAGACCATTGGCCTCTTTTCCACATGACGTAAAGATCATGCAAAAGACTCACCAGAGCGAAAGAAAGAGGAGGCAAGGGATCTGTCCGCCTGCTTAGTCTCACCCCCACTTGCTTTCAAACTACGTCCGCTCCATGGCCCAAATATGCATGCATGCACCCATGCAACATGTCAGAGGAAACGAGCGAAATGAATGAAAAAGTTCAAGTTGTCAACTACTGCTGTTGTGGCTACCTCCAGCTGCGTCATTCCAAAGGAAAACAGCAGCAGCAAGCATGTGGAGGACTGCGCCCCCCCCCCCCC